ATATTGATAAAACTGATAATAAGACATCATTTATGCGTCCAAATATTCTATTAACAGGTCTTCGTCGATCAGGTAAAACATCCATACAACGTGTTATATTTACAAAAATGCAACCATCACAAACACAATTTCTTAAATCTACTCCACATTTAACAATAAATCAATTTTCTTGTGGTTCATTTATTAATTTTCAAGTGCAAGAATTACCCGGTCAATTACATGTATTTCCATCTTTACAATTTCCAAATAGTAGTGATGGTCAAAATAATAGTCAATCACCATTATATGATGATGATACAACACATCTTGTTGGTGGTGGTTATGATATGGAACGTGTATTGAAACGATGTAATGCTGTTGTATATATAATTGATGCTCAAGATGATTATTCACAATCAATATCAAGTTTAATAATGATTATACAATCAGGTAGACGTGTCAATCCAAGATTAAGATATGAAGTATTCATACATAAAGTTGATCAATTATCTGAAGAAACAAAAATAGAAACTCAACGAGATATTCATAATCAGGTACGAAAAAAGAAAAAAAAAACAGATATTGAAATTTTAGAAATTATTTAGTTTTGTTGACGATATTCTTTCTACATGAGACGTCATAATCTAATATTATACTAATGATGACGTTTTGCGTAGTATATTTATTATTCACAGTTATTTCAATGACAGATTTATTAAATATTCTTTGATAAGCAGTAATGTTTTACTGTTATAAGAATAATAATAATTATTGCATTCCTGACATAGTTTCTTGTAGCGACTCTATCACGAATGTATATGTATTTTTCTAAAATACTAGATACGTTTACTTGAACTTTTGGATTCGAAAAGTATACATTCAGGATGAAATGTTCATTGATTATAGTTGTTATGTCATCATATAAATAACAAATCTCAGTGAAACAGTGATTATAATACTGATTTCAATACTTGTTCATGAACATTATGACATATCATATCGGTAAACTATAGTGATAAATGTAGATTACTCTTTTCACGTTTCATTCTGCTCATCATTGGTCTTCTAACTTTTGATAATTTTTACAAATGTCAGAAACTAATGTTTCTTTTTCGTTGACGAAGCCTATAATAATGTCTGTTAAATTTTGAGAACACAACCAAAAAAATGACAAAAAAAAACTCGCATTTCGTATCATCTCTCATTGACATTTATGGTCAATCTTACAATATAAAAAAAAAACTAGAAATTTGGATCTTAATGCTTTTTCTTTACACTTATTATTAGTCTGAGAGAGAGAGTTCTCAAAATGTCTTATCATCACATAAGATATCCTATGATCTTATAGTGACATTTTATAGGACAACAAGATCTTATAAGACTGCTAACGAAGAAACTTTTTCTAGTGTCACAATGCTTTGCAACAAAGACGATATTCATTTGATGATTATTAAAAAAGTTTAGAACAGATCATGCGAGAGTTTCAACATGAAATTTTGTATCACCAGAGTTCTCTATGAAATCAGTTTATTGAACAAGTTGTAATTTTTCTAGTATCTCCTATCTTCAAATATTGAGTCTTCAAAGTTTTCGCATTTGTAAAAGACAATTTTTATCTTCAAAAAGACAATACTCGTATCGCAAAAACTTGCACAATTCACTAATCTCTTTATGACATTGGCTCGTGCAAAGTTTGAAGTCGTAATTTACGTTATCTCAAAGAGATCATAGCTTTTTATTGAAGAGCACAGTAAAATTTTGATATCTCAAAAATCAATATATCATCTTCACTATTGCCATTGATTAGAAGACAAGATCGCATGTCTACGAAATAGCTTTCAGTAATTTTTGTTTTTGTTTAGGTACGAGATCGTTTTGCTGATTTGAATGGTGGAACAGATACATGGCCATTAACATCGTTTGGATCAAATCCAAATTCTCAAAATATTTTAATCAATTTTCATTTAACATCCATATTTGATCATTCAATATTTGAAGCATTTTCAAAAGTTATACAAAAATTATTACCACAATTTAATCATCTAGAAGATTTGCTCAATTATCTTATATCAGCATCAAATATGGAACAAGCATTTCTATTTGATATACAAACAAAAATAAGTATTGCAACTGATTCAACACCAACTGATATACAAGTAAGTTTAAATTTTTAGAATGAAAAGAAAAGTGTCTTAATAATTTATTTATTTATTTTTTGCTAAGATGTATGAACTATGTTGTGATATGATTGATTTACTAATAAATATGAGTCAAATATATGGACGACCAAATGGTAATGTTGTTGAAGCTATTGATGATTATAGAAATAGCGAACATATTTCGAATGGTATTCATGAATCAACGAATACATATTCGAATAGTAAAATATCAAAATAATTTTCTAAACAAAAAAGAATAAGTAAATCTATTTTGATGTATTAGGTTCCTTAAGTACAACATCGCTGAGAACTTCATGTTCATCAATAACTGAAACGATGCATGAACCTACATCAGATGTATTTGATTCAATGTCATCAAGTGTTATAAAATTAACTGGTGGTCGAGCACTTTATCTCAAAGAGATTAATCGTCATTTAGCATTAATTTGTGTTCTACATGAAAGAGCACTTTCAAAACAAGCAATTATTGAATATAATGTTGATCAATTGAAAAAGAGTATTTTAAATTTGTTTCATTTAACAAATCAGACATCTGCATCTTCTATAGCATCATAGAATGTTTGTTCTTTCTATCCTGACACCATCAAGTCATCAGGAATTCATGTTCGAGTTATTTCTCTGGAATTTTAAAATGTCTATATGTTGTCTTTCACTTGTTGATTTATTTAATTACATTAATATATCTATTTGATTAGACAACAGTAATGCTGTATTGTTTATACTTTGATTGATAAATTATTGTTGTGCGTTCATTTTTATTTTTAAACTTGATTCGTATTCTTCATATTAGTGCAAACAGTGCATTGTTGGTTAGGTTTTTCATGTTTTTTTGTGTTTGTCAGCTTTCTATTTCTTTTATATGTATGCATGCACCACGAATTTTTTTTCTTGTGTTTTTTACATACACATTCTTGTGCTGCTTTTTGTTCGCCTATGAGCAAAGCCATTAAAAATCAATTTTCGAAGAAAAAAAACGGTATCTCATAAAAATTTATTATCGATTTTACAATTTGTCAAAAATCGCATTTATTCAAGTGATATCAGTCAATGCATTATCAAACTTAAGATCACAAGGTCTCGATTATAAGTATTCGATTAATGAGGACAATCTCGAAGCATATAAGTCGCTATTAAGTCGAGACTATTGCATTTTTGGAGACAGAAATGAATCATGAAATAATTCAAGGAATATGTGTCCTTAGGTTATTTCTATAAAGGGTGTGGGTGTTGATCTTTGCTTCATCCACACCCACAGCCACACCCATCCTCTTTAGAAACATACATTCTCATTATTTTCCACCTTTCCTGGCAACTATACTTCAACTTAATTTCACAAAGCCAAGATCTCTTTACTGAATGAACATAATGCACAGTTACTTACACTGACAGTTACCATTAGACAATAAAATCCATAGCATAACAGTCACAAAAACTCATGCATAAAAAAATTCACTCTCTATACTATTAATAAAGAGAAATCAGAAATAAAAATTAAGATTTTCTATATTACCAATATAGAAAAATAAAAACTAAATAGGATTTTCTGTTTTATCACCATAGAAAAATAAGAAATAGAAGTAACAATTTTTGTATACTATTAATATAGAAAGATGAGAAATAAAAATAATCATATTTTACAATATTAATGTAGAAAAGAAAGAAAAAAAAAGTTAGGTAAACTGCTCGTTCCTATTTTCTAGGTACTGTTCTTCACAGGAAAGCTAATGGTATCAATTGTTCTCGAATAATTGAAAGAACAGGACAGATCATACATAATCAAATAAGAACAGACAAGATCTGCATTATGTACCGGTGTATGTTTCATTTTTTTTGAGTCTTATATGATCTGTTAAGATCTGCCAGGAAGCATTCATTCTGTTCTTATAAGTTTCTTAATCTTTGAATCTTGTAACATTATTTGTTGGCACCGTACAGTCAGAATCTGAAGATATCTTTAAAAAAATGAACACATAAGATATTGTTCGATCTTGCATAATCTGACGTCTGGTCTCTTTGACATGGAACTCTTTATTTCTATTCATCTAACATGACAATGTTAAAAAAATAGATGCATCTATGGTCGGATCAAATATTATTCTATGTAGTAGTTATTATCTACGCTGATTGATTGAAAAGAACAAATCTATCTACAATCTGTCAAAGATGTTTCTTTTGATTATCAGAACAAAGAAATATTTGTTTATTATGTCTTTTCTACGTCTTATACAAGTATCTTATTAACAATAACTTTTGTATGGGATTTTGCTTAATTCATCATTATTTTTTTTCTTATTAATGAGTACAATTACGTCAAGAGTATAATTACATTATTTATTGCTAATGAAGTGCAAGAAAAGTTGATTATCTATAGTGTTGAATGATCAATAAATAAGACGATGAAATAAAAGTCTGTCTATGATAAAACAAATAATAATCATCTCCTGTATTCTTTTCATCATAAACCAATACTTGTATGGGTTAAGATCGTGGTTATGATCGACGAAAAGATGATCGTGAACGAAGTAATTTTATTCAAAAAGTTTCATGAATTTTTATTTGTGATATGTTTCATTCAAGATAACCGTCATCCTAGTGTTAGCTATTGATCTCATTCTAATACATCCAATAGACATAAATTAAAGTAAGAATCATCCAGTTCAAGTATATTCTCATCATTATGAAGTAGTTCATTTGAATGGTGTGTTTGATTTACTGAACAGAAAAAAACAATAAAGAAGCATCTTCATTTTTTTATGTATAATATCTTGTTATATCTTACATCATGTCCTTAATCTATTTCTTGTTTGTTTGTTTGTGTCAAAAACTATCAATGTGTCTGGATTTCTTTTTTTTTCAGATATTTATATGAAAAATATATTTTCTTCATGATTGAAGAAATAACATCAACAATAGTAAATGATGTCGATATTGATAAAACTGATAATAAGACATCATTTATGCGTCCAAATATTCTATTAACAGGTCTTCGTCGATCAGGTAAAACATCCATACAACGTGTTATATTTACAAAAATGCAACC